CGTAACAAAAGGGTCAAGTTTCTAAATCATATAGAAGTATTGACTGACTTAACTTCGGTGCTCAAAATCGAAATCTTCTTCTTTATGCTGAGTTAGAGCAGAAGATTTCCAAACCTATTTCAGATTGGTAAAGGTGAATCTTACCTTTCGTATTCAGGCTTTGAGATCTTCATCCGTGCCATCTGCCTGTAGTTGAAATGACGCTGGCTGCCTAGATAAGTGAAGGAAGTAACCTCTGTTAAATCTCTCCTGTTGATGGTGATAGGTGCTGTTGGTGTTGACGTTCGTTGGTTATGTTCACCACATCCATTTTGTCTATGTTTAACCGAAGTCCGGTCTTCACTGACAGCAGTACCTTGAAAGTATTCAGGATTTCTGCTTTCTTTGAAGGATTGGTATCAACTGACAGGCAGTTCTATGTGTGCTGTTGATGGTATTTCTGGGTGAGTTTCAGGTGATGGTTCAAGATTCAAGAGTCCTTTGAAGTGATCAGCTGATTGTTTACTTCTTTTTCCTCTTAATATTAAGGTTTCCTGGAACGTCTTTAATTGGTTTCACCTGTGTTGATCCCTTTGCGGATTGAGGCCTGATTACCTAATATATGATCTTCAGTTCTTTTATCTGCGGCTTGTCGATTCTGCCTCAGTTCCCAGTGTGTCGTCGATTTATCTTTTGTCCTCCCTAGCACTCTTCTTCACTTCTCTACTCAGTGAGTTGTACACTGAACTAAGCTTTACCTTCCGTTGTCTGTTTTTGCATTTGTTCATCATCCGTTTCTCCATCCTCCTCTCTTCTGTTAGTTTACAGGTGGTGTTCGTTGAGAGCTACTTCTTGTCTTACCTCTTCTTTCTTCCTATTCACATATTACCCCTCTTTTAACACTGATGGCCTATGTACCTTTAGATTCTTCTCAAAATTCTCGGCTCGCTTTTCTTTATCAGCACTTTTACAGCTTCATTACACTTTCCTTTAAACTCAGTTTATTTGCATTTGTAACATTTGATTATCTCTCATTTTTTCATATCCGTCTTTATAATTACGCTGTTTCCACTGCTTTATTAGCAAATGTTTCACCATTTTTCATTATTGGTACATAAATACAATTACATTTAAACTATGAACATTTATGTCACGTCTAGTTGTAGTCTTTCAGGTATATATAACTTTGTTGATGAACTCACTGTTTCCATCGCCACCTTAATTGGTAACACCTTGTCAATAATGACTGAGGATTTCAATTTTTCGGACTTCGATTTCCCAGCATCATCATATCATGAAAATATACTATATCTAACGTTCACAAATGACTTTGGCATATATCAAGCTCACAAACCAGCTCTACTTTTAAATTCCGATAATTGTATTATGCGGGTTTCACTGGAATTATTTGGAGAGTTAGAAATGAAAGCCTTCCCTTACTTCTACAAGATAATTCAACAGAGATAGAAGAGGTTATATAACTCTGAAGTGCCGAGATTAAATGTAATATATAACCACAGATGTTTTATGCAAAACCTCAAAAATGTGAACAGTATTCACGGAAATTACTAATGGAAAGCTAATGAATAATTCCTGTCCCTCATATAATAACGACATCTTTAATAAGCTCACCATATTTTGGCGTGATTGTGTTGAGTAAGCCGGATGATTTGATTGCAAGACTTTTATTGTCTATTTAGATAACATCTACAGCTCAAAGTACAGTATGAATAAAGGTTATTTGAATTCGCAGAAAATGATATAACTACTTCAATTGCGGACTATGGTTAAGATCTGTTGGTGATTTACGTTAATAGTGAGTGTAATAATGGCTTGAAATTTGACTTTCTTCTTCACGTGACTGATTTTTAACTAACTTGGAAATTTGACTTCAGTTACCGTGTCTACTGATGACTCGTTTGTCTAAGTACCAGGCTTCTACTAGTTCCTTGGAATTTCCGGTGTTTCCAGTGACTAACATTTCCATACCTTCCTATTCAAATTGGTGTCTATAGTGGCCTTCAGGCGTGTATGTAAAAGAATTCACGTCGCGTCTTTTTAGAGCTGGTTCGTGTTGCTGGCTTCAGAGCCGAATGAGATGCTCCATCTGACCAATACAGAGCTTATCATAGTTTAGGCAATTTATTGTATAGATGGTGTTGGTCTTCTGTTCTTTTTCTGCAGTATCTTCTTCTGTATTGGTTGAATTGGTTTTTATGAGATATCTGGTCTGGATGGTTTTTAGTATTTCAACAGTTATTTTAGAAATTTTCCTCATATATGGTGGGATGAATTTTCTTGTGATTTCTGTGGATGGTTTTTTGTCGATAGTTGGATTTGTATTCAGACATTCTTTGATCGGATTGTTAGGGTATTTATCTTTCTTGAAAACGGTAAATAGTTATAAATAGACATACTAATGCATACATATTCCTTATCAGAAATGCATCATCCATATATCGACAGTAGAATTCCAACTCATTGATTACTTCTTTCAGTGGTCTATTCTCTAGTATAGAGACAAAAACTTCAGCTAGAATTGCATTTAATTGATGACTGATAACCAAAGCATCAGTTTATCTAAACTTTTCGTTACTGAGCACAAATGAACATTCGTCGTTCATCTCAAAATAAGTCACTTCATGTCAGAGACAGAAATGCCTATGTTTACTTTTCGCTTAATAATTTCATCGCATATAAAATACACTGTCTCAGTCAATGGTATATTAGCGAACAAACAGGAGCCATTGGAAGATATCATAAATTCCATTTAAATATCTTATTTTTCCCCAAATTCAAAGTTTACTTTTACACTTTGTTACGAAAAGGCTTGAGGAAATTCACCAACCACTTTGTTGTTGAGTGACTGAAGTAGCAAACCATTTTTATGTACTTTTGATAGCCTATACATTGAGGATACAGTTAGGCAGGTTCATCACCGTATTTGCGAACATCATCCTGCATGGTCAAGTATGGGACAAACATGATATTCTTGTAGCTCTGTTTTAGCGCAGCTGGTTGACAACGAGCATAAAAGCAAATATTAATATAGCTTTTAAAGTTATTTATCGCACTCCTACTGATCGTAGTTTTGATTTACGAGTTCGTCTTCTACATACTACTGAAACCATAGGAATCCACCTGAAGAAGCTAAACTAGCGTGTTCAGAAAACATTTCTGCATCTATTTTCCTTAACTTGACCATCATTACATGAATTTAAGAATCTGACTGGAGTGCTGTAGTGTGTTTTAGTTCTTTCAAATAATGTTTGTGTACAGTATCCTTTGTGTGTTGTTGTAGCTAAATATGTAGTCTTTGTGGGTTGGCTTCCTGAATACTGGTGTTTATAGATTTCCAATGCTTGTTCTCTTAACTCTGGCATCTAAGAAGGGAATTTTTTGTCAGACAACATGAAGTCAACCCACGCAAATCTAAGTCATCTACTGGATCAAGTGTTAACTTTGAACATATTATCATTAACTCAAACTTTTCAAATGTATTGGAAAAGATATTCTTACTTAATCTTGAACCTTCATCGAAGACTATCACTGATCTTAAACACTGTGCTTGCAAGCATGATAGGTCTGTTTTTGATGCTACCAATGCCTTCCATTGCACTACTGTTTCCAGTTTGGGCAATGCTACTAAATATATTATATGTGTCTTCCTGGATCACATGTCTGCTTTTTACTCCGTGTCTAGGTTATTTCTGTTAAATAAGCTTGGTTTGACACGCACTGGATGCTAGATGGATAATTGGTTGCATTCTTATTTCTCTGACAGAAAGCCATAAACTTAAGCACAAGGGGAATTCTTCCACTATGTTGCTTAATGTAAGCAGTTTCCCTTAAGGCACTATTCTTTCTATTTTTTTTCTTCCTTCTCACCTGACTTGCCTTATTCTGTTGAAACTAATTTCGTTAAGTATGCTGAAAATCCTTCCAGTACTGCGCTTATTCACTTGTTCAAAATAAATAGCTTTTCATCAGATATTACACAGTGGTCCCTGTAAAATGGTCTTAAGCTAGATTATTTCAATTGCCTGTTTTTGTTAATTTTAAACTTCAAACACAAGTGAGATGTACATGTACTGATTCGCTCCCATTATTCTTGTAGTACAGAGGCCACTGAAGTAGAAACTAAGACCACCAGTGTTGAATACTTCTGATAAAGCCTTTTCTGGCAGTCACAAATCCTCTTAACTCCTCCTAGAAAAATATTTCCTCTACATAAGGAAATTAAGACAGCCTAGTATCATTCAGTCTCTAATTTTACAATCTGTTAACTAATGCAGTTTGCCCATTCTTCTTCTTCATTACTCCTACTTAATGCAAAAATGAGTGCTGATGAAAGTAAGTATGCTATACAGAGGTGTGGGGAATAAGGCGAAGAGTAAGTTATTCTATCCAACTAATTCTTCTGTGTCAATAATCGCTCTTCACTAGAGGCCAAAATATAATACATAAATATCATTTCGGAAGGTTCAGATAATAAGTTCAAAATAATAATTATTATTATTATTTGATTTATACAAACAAAACAATAAAGTTATAAACAGATGGCATGTTTAGAATATCCGAAAGCTATATTCTCGATAAAAGACATCAGTGATGACATGGAAACCCCAGCAGCATTGAAGAAGAAGACTTTTCATAGAACCATTCCAGTAACAGACGCAGTGATTCAAACATATTCAACAAATTCGATAAGACTATATCAGGTTAAATGGATACATATCACTCAGTACTTTCAGTAATAACGGGTCGATTTGAAATAAGAAATGATAAGTCCATACTTTAAACTTATTTATTTTATAGATAAATTCAAAAACTCTTGTCACGATCCTAACAGCTTATTGAATAAATCTTTTTGATATTCTGTAGTAATGAAAAAAAAAAGATGAACAGTAGTAATAGGCTGTTCAAAGAATGAGAAAAGCAACACTGGCAGTATGCATAAGTGGTCATCGCGCTGAAGCTATAGAATGTTGATCATCAGATGGGGATTGATTGATTAAATATTAAGTGAGAATCGATAGCTGGGATTTAGCAGATGAATTTATACAAATTGGGAATATTTTGTGAAAAATACAGTGTAAAAATATCAGAAAGTGTAAGTTAATGCTGGAAAATAAAGCTTTACTACTCGAAGAATTTCTTGGATTTTGATCAAAAGAGTCTTCAGCTTCTGTACTTCTCATTTTGGAACCTAAACATCAACAAAAAAAGAAGGTAAATTAGTCTCCATAGTTAACTAAAAACTAAGTTCAATTATAATCACGCAAACAGGCTAATTAACAGTAGAAAGTTTTCTCGCAGGGATGAGCGAATTTAAACCTTTTTTAAACTTCAGATGAATTCATCTCCATCAACGTTCACTGTAACACACAGTGATATAATTCAATTTACAAAAATGTCAGGTATTACCATGATTCTAATAAAAAGTTAACTTATTTTCTTAGTTGTGTTTATCAGTCAGCAGGTGAGGTAATCTTTTTTTTGGTATCCAATTTATTTAATGAACATCAGGTCCCGTTTGCGCGCTCAGCAGATTCTGAATGCTTCATATATAGTATGCATGTTGTCTGTCTGTCTATCTGTCGGTTTTCGACATGGAACTTTGCACAAATGTGCGGAAGTTCACGTCGCCACACTCCGTGTAGCACGCGAAGCAAGAGAATAAAGTATAAGAAAAGCATAACAAAAACAGTGAGCAGAGATGTGAGACAAAGGAGTAATAAAGAAAAACAAAACAGTTTCATTGGAGATCATAAGTCACAAGGAGTGGATGCATCTGCGCCATTGAGAACGATTTTGAGCCATGTCAACAATTGTTTCCAACCATAGAGTTTTACCGTCCCAAGGACCCCAGCCTGGAAGTCTACACCTTCCTACGTGGCTTAGACCAACTGTTGTGGATTTCATTGACTGATGCCAAGTTTCTGTTTGACCGCCGCTAGCTTTTTTCCAGCCTGACCCTATATCCGCTAACATTGCTCGTCGAGGGAGGCGATGGCTTGGCATACGTAACACATGTCCTAACCATCTCAGTCTTTGTAGCTTCACGACTTCGTCGATTGATTTCCCCTGTTTGCCTAGAACTCTACGCCTAACCTCAATGTTGCTCACCTTATTATGCCACTTCACACGGAAAATAGAACAAGGGCACCTATGATCAAAGACAGCTAGTCTTTTCATGTCTTCCACTCTCAGTGGCCAGGTCTCACAACCATAAAGGAGGACGGAGCGGACTGATGAGCAGTACACCCGCCCTTTGGTCGATAGTCGAACATCTCGTCTACGCCAGAGTCGGCGTACACTGGCAAATGCGAAGCGAGCCCCCTGTATTCGTGCTGAGATTTCGTCAGAGATCAGCCCGTTGGGGCTGATGGTACTTCCCAAATAAGTGAAGCGGTCAACGTGCTCTACCACTTCACTTCCTATTTTTAAACTAGGCGTCGATGTAGTCCAGTCCTGTAACGTCATCTTGCATTTGGCGGGAGCGAATCGCATGCCGAACATTCGTAGATTGCGGCTCAAGGTTTTTAGAAGACTCTGCATTTTGTCAGCGTCTTCGCCTAGAAGGACTATATCGTCTGCATATTCCAAGTCAACGAGATTATTCCCTGGTAGCAAGTCAATCCCTGAGTCACTGAAGTCACCTAGGGTTAAGTCCATTAACACATCTATGATGAAGTTGAATAGAAACGGAGATAATGGGCATCCTTGACGGACACCACTGGTCGTCACCATTTCAGATGACAGATCGCCGTAAGCCCTCGCCTGGCTGTATGAGTACGAGTACAGTGCCTTAATCAGTGCAATATATTTTCTCGGGATTCCCTTTACAGCCAAGCATCTCCAGAGAACTTCTCGATCGACAGAGTCGAATGCTGCCTTTAGGTCAAGAAATATAATGACTGTTGGACGCCGGTAGGAATGCCTATGTTCTAGAATCTGTCGGAGGGTGAAGATATGATCAATACACCCTCTTCCTGGTCTAAAACCTGCCTGGCTCTCTAGTGTTTGTGCCTCCCGAGCATTACTTAGTCTACGCATGATTATTGAGCCTAGGACTTTAGATACTATATTAGTCAAGCTAATCCCTCTGTGATTATCACAGGAAGACTTGTCTCCCTTCTTGTATATAAGGATAATCAGTGACTTACACCAACCCGATGGGACTTCTTCTGATTCCCAGACGCTTCCTAGTACCTCAGTTAATGCGTATTGTAGTGAAACTAATTAACAAAACTTTTGTCTTAGTGCACTGCAATGAAGTATCTATCTTCGGTTCACGAAGTATTTTCCGACGTCAGTCACAACATACAATTACAAAAAAGCAGACTAGTACATGTTAGACAGATTTACAACTTTTAAGTAATAACAAAAGTAATCAAGGTCATCTTGGGTTTCCTCATTCAGCTCTACATCTTCACCTCCTATATTATAGATGAATACTTTTATGTGACTTAAAGTCTTATGGCTTTGGCTGTTACTAATGAACACAGTGAATATGATTTGATAAAAATATTTCATGTTGATATCATAGACAAACGTTTCCCTCAGTATCGCACAAGAGGGCTTCGAATACATCATTAATGCATATCCGAATCACTGGCTATTCCGGATCTCAAACTGAACCTCTATGGCCTTGCCAATGGCCAAGGTAACATTCTTCTCATAATTTGGTTGCATTTCACTGTTTGATGATTAATTTATCCTTGTATTAATAATGATTTTATTTTTACGAGTTGACCACGGATCGATATCAGTTAGAAAAGCATTGAAAACCAGCACTGGAGTACTGGACAGCTGTTTCATCCTAGTTTGGGAATCATTGGCAGTACGCACTCACTGGGATTCGAACCCGGGACCTTCCAGTTACAAGGCAAGCTCGGATGGAGTTCCCTGGAGTTCTAGTGAGAAGTCGTGACCAGTGAGGTCCAATTAGATGTCACGTGTGTGGATGGATGTCTCACCGACGACAATGGTTGGGGTCGCGCTAAATCACGAATTGGTAGAAGTTAGAATTCATGAGCCATTGAATCGGCTCCCAGTGGCTGAATGGTATACGAGCTTGCCTTGTAACCGGAAGGTCGTGGGTTCGAATCCCAGTGGTTGCATACTGGAGATGATTCTCAAACTAGGATGAAACAGCAGGTGTCCAGTACTCTAATGCTGGTTTTCAATGGTTCTCTAACTGATATCAATCCGTGATCAACTCGTAAAAAACATATCTTACCCTTACAAACCAGACTATGGAAAAGGATTTTATTATTTATTAGTGTTAAAAACGTTGCATTTCTAATGCGAAATTCATTGAAACACTTCACTGTCTTTTCTATCCATTTCTGTCCATTCAAACAGATTAGGCGTTTTTAAATTTATTACGCAACTGCAACTTCTGTTTCTTGATTCCTACTTGCTGACTGACCTCGAGACTATCTCTCCCATTATATCAAACATATTTTATTATACAATTACCAGTATTTGACTGGTATTATGAACTATCTGCTGAATGTAGTTACAACTGTACACCTGGAAATAACTCGAAAAAAGAATTTTCTTTGCCACCACACCATCTTTTCTATGCTTCAAAGTTGTTTACTCTGTAGCTTACATAAACTGGTGGACTGTCGTCGTATGTATCTCCAAACCGCAATCTTATATCTCAAGCACTCAGTACACAATAAGATTCACGTAACGCTATGTTCACTGGGCACTGTTTAAATACAGATAACATTATATTATTGGGGTAGATTTCTTTAAGGTTATCAGAATTTCTATACCTGTTGTATGTAGGTTGATTGAGCTTTCTTCTACTGATTCCAACTGTGTACCGGGAATTTTCCGACATGACCATATCCCTGAATTATATTTCGTTAGCTTGCCAATATTTAATCTACTCGCTAATGTTGTCTGATTGATCCATTTTGTCTGTATATCTGTGTATAAATTTTTCAATTTTAAATGATTATCAAGAATAGAAAGTTTTGAATTCTCATAAATCTTGATATCCATTTTAGGATATATTCTGTTACCATTATAATACCATTGAATAGATGATGTTGATGTTGGATGACTGAACTGAACCAGACATGTTAATGAATGAAATTGGCCAGGATAACTAATAATATGGACACCTGAGAAAACAAATAATCAAACAGTAGTTTGTAGATACTTTTAAGTATAAAAAAGTACATTTACCAAAAAGTATTTAACATTCTTAAGACCAGAATTAACATTTAGTGTATTTAAAGGTTGGTGTTCACTTCAATGAAGCTAATACTAACGGGTATTTCATTTTCGCCCTATTCAAGTGTACATATAAATGGTTAGTACACTGACTGTGACACTTCTGTAAGATACTGATTGTATCTTAGTGCTATGGAAGATGGACTACACTTTTCAACTCTTCGAATTCCCGCATGCATTTATCCTATGAGGTGTTTACTTCCAAAGATGTTTATCAAATGAGATTAACTTTTTATTTCATTAGCTGTCTCAGAGAAGCGATGTTGATGATTAATCTATGTCATGGTAAAACCCTGATTATGTCATTTGTAGATTTTAATTGGCATACACATTTAATGATGTCACAATTGTGTTCGTTGAAAGTTCTGAAAAATGTTGACAGATATGAATCCCAAACGATGATATAATGGTATTGATAATGTACAGGTATTGTGACCTGGCTTCGTCCTACAGTTGCTTCGACTCTATATAATATAAAACTAATCCCTTTACAGCCGTTCTTCACAGTGAAGACATGTAAGACAGAGTGAGAGAACAAACATTTACTTCTCCTGGAAAAAAACCTAGGACAATTTTTAATTTTTCTTGTGTAGAATCCTCAAATAAATAAAACATACTGAGGTATTCTTAAGTTTCTATCCAGTTTGACTTCTGATCGACACTGCCTCAGACATATCGTTGACCTAACAAAAAAGTTGCCATCCTACTGAATGTCCACCAGCTTCTGCTACATCTCAGGTTAAAAGAGTTGATTCTAGAGATATTCAAAAACGAGTTCGTAAAATTACTTCTGATGTTCTATTCATTTCAAAGAATTTCAAAGGTTTTTGTTATCTAACAAATCATCATGACCTGGCTGCTGATTGGATTAACAGACCATACCTTCGCGGAGTACCCTTAAATTCGGTTTGCTCACGTGTATGTATTTTTCGTTAAACACCCCTCGACAGACATGTGTGTAGCCAGATTAGTGTCCTAAAGAGTTACGACAGGTGTGGAACGGCCGCTAAGCTACCAAAGAAAGTCTAATCTCAGAAAGGTGTGACGACCTTTGCAAATTATCTTCAAGTGGCTCATCAGTTGAAAACTAAATTTGAAGAAAAAGATTTTGGGACAGTAGGTGACATATTATGAGTCAGTGTTTCCTACGTCGTGTATGACATATGGCTGAAGTTCATGTCATTGGATTTCGCTTGTGCATGGTATAGTTTTCACATTTTAAATTTGTAGTTTATTAGTAATGTGAAGTAAGTGTATAATTAGATACACTTTCTGGTCTTATTACCTACTCTTCGAGTAACAAATTTTTGGGAATATTAGTCAAGTGTTTGGTTGTATGTTATTTTGTGTTGAAGTAACAATAAGAACAAAATCAAGCTCAATACAGTTTTGCGTAGTCTGAAACTGTTCAGCTAGTTTGAAGTTTTTTCTGTATTGAAACAGTAGATAATGATGAATTTGTGCACTTGACTTATCATTCTATTTGTGAAGTTTTATTAACTATGATATGAAAAACGCTTGGTAAAGTCTCAAGACAAAATGCCTTCACATACTTCTGGAGAGAGAGAGAGACTTGTATACATAACTCAGATTAAGAGTACCATGATTCAACTTTCAGTTTCTTACTACAGTACATGTAAAATGCCATTTCAGTGTACGCACTCAAACATACTGACTACAGTGGGCAGTGAAAGACTTTCGAGTGGTTTACTACCATCATCATATTGTGTGTTTTTTCCTTCACATTCCCCAGTGGAACATAGGGATTCAAGCTAGTGGCTTGACGTTTCTGTAGCAGTGTTTGATTTTACAGGATGAGGTTGCTAGTCTCATGTCCAACCTTCCCTCTTTACCAGCATTATTTCTGGCTTAGCAAGGTGAAGGAGTGCGTCGGCTGGGGATCGAACCCCGGATCATGTGCATGGTCGGCGAGCGTCCTAACCGCTAAGCCAACGACGCACATCCTTTTGTGTACAGCACCAATAATAATTCTTTAGTGTAACAACTAAGCACAAATCACTCACTGGATAAAAAGCCTGTTGACCATATTATTTAGAGTGAGTGGAGTATGTTTCAACTATGTTGAGGCAATCCACATCCTAACAAGTGTTTGTCCGAAGATAAACCAGTTGGAGAAAAGTTAATATTTACCTACTTGCGCTTTATTTAAACAATAATTGGGAATTTTACGGCTCGTTTTTATAGTACTTGCACAGACTAAGCATTTTTATTTATATGCCGATTCCTAAAACTTGTCATATATAAACATTATTAGATAAGAAGAATTTAGAACAGGCTAACTTATTTAAAGGAAAACATTCAGTGTAGGAAAGGCGGTGAACACTGAACTCCAACAGCGCTGATAATTCATTCTTTTTGTATTATTTATTAGACTTTGAACTGAGTGAAGTTCATCTTAATTCCACTTTTTTGAAATAAGTTGTGTCAACTATTTTCTCTACGTTGAATAACTTATGTTTTATTATTGATGATTCTCAAGTATTGGTTTTGTAGGGATGTGGTTTGATTGTATGGATGTATTGATGATTCATTACTGTTTATATTTTTTACCTCACTGTGACAGTGGTAGCTGCAAATTAGGCAGAATAAGTATTCAGCGCTCTTCATGAGACTATCTTTATTGACAATCTAATGACTTACAGAAGCAGATATATTCAGCATGTCTGTCAGTCAATTAATTTTTACTTAAAATAAACTATTATTAAAAACAACTGTACTTTATACTGTCAGTCTTCTTGTAGAATTAAATAATATTTATTGGGTTCTTCTAACTGTATGGTTGTTATTGGATACTGGTAAACAGTTTACCTTCAATTTGTTCACACTTCTGACAGCCAGAAATAATCCTTATTTCATGTATGTAAATGTTAACTGTATTATCATTATTATTTATTACACCTCTTCATATTGATTTTCACAGTTTGTCGACCACTTCAGTTTTACTTCTTCGTAGAGTGGAACAACTCAAGCGGTCGATTAAAGTATCTTTTTGAAGGATTTATAGTACAACACTATGTCAGCACAGATTGCCTGCTGAGTGTTTTGAATATTCGATGCTTGCACATTTACACAAAATCATGTTTTGTAGTAAAAAGGCAATAAGAAGTGAAGTTAATCTACATTAAGCGTCACTTGTAATGAATAACAAGTGTGATAGAACTGCTGTCGTGGTAGGAGTTCCCCTTTGTCTAGCGGGTAGTTTAAAGCTACTAGATAACTCCATAGCAAAATAAGTCAGGCAACGGAGTTGTTTATTTCAAGGATAGAAATTGTGTTGACATTCCGCTCAGATGACAGTAATTGAATTTTGAATATAATCATAGAATTTATTGGATGCCTCTCTAAACATCAAGATAACCAGTAATTTTCAAACTGTCTATAGTTAGAAATAATTGCTTTGTTTAGCAAGTAAATGATTTCAATCCTGACAGATCTAAAAACTAGTCACTTGAACCAAGTTAATCAGTCGAATATCCTGACCAAACTAACTGAAATTAAGAGAAAATTTATTTATTTCTTAGGACATGGCGACTTGAAAAGAATAATAATATTTGACAAAGAACTCGGTTAGTTATTGTTCATTCATATTTCATCACTTCATTGGCTATATGTGTATATTTTTTTGATTATAGCTTGATTCCACAAAGTGTTTCTGGTACAAGTATGGAAATTTCAGCTTGTGATACCGGTAGCCCAAATTTTGCAGACCGACTAATTGATATCAGGTGTGCATTGGCAGGCGATCGAAACCTGGACCAAATGCATGGTCGGTGAGAGTCCTAACCACTGTGTCGACGACGCACAGAGACCAGTTAAAAACAAATACCAAAATAACTAGCATTTGCAACCAAGTTATTATGTCAAGAGGTGGAAATCTAAAAGTAAAGGTTGATAATATCATAAAGCTTGATGGTAAAATTTTAGTAGTCAAATACCAATAAGCTAACAGTATACATAGCATTTCTGGCAAAGAGTAAAAATCATTTTGAATAAAATAATACCTATGTGCAGACCTTTATTAACAACTGTCTTCTCTGGATCTATACTGAAGATCAGATGGCCGGGCCGGGTTGGAAAGAATCACCAACAAGAAACTATGGGAACAAACAAACAAAACAAGAACCAATCGCCAACCAACAAATATGCAGGAGAAAGTGGAGATGGATTGGACACTCGCTCGCCGAGGAGGCCGCCGCTGGGTGACATCGCGCGCGCGTCAGGCCATTGCTCGAATGGAACCTGGCCGAAAGGGAGGCGGCGGCGAGTTGGTCGTCAGTGGAAGGGTGACATGGGGAGATCGTGTGAAGAGGAGTTGAAGAGTATGGACTAAGATGGATGCAGGTGAAAAGTACAGCGGGAGAAGGAGGAAGCAAGTGGAGACGTGCAGTTGAAGTCCTATGTTCCACTAGGAATCCAAGGGAACAATAATAATATATACAGTCAAAAAACAGCACTTTGTTTGCTTATGATGATAGACAAAAAAATGGCAGTGAACATTAATTACAACAGAATTATTAACCGTCTTACTTTTTCGTTTACTTGACGCTCTCCAAAGAGTATTTTGCATCGTATCATCTTTAACGTATTCATCATTCAATTTAGTCGCATCCGGTTCGGTTTTATGAGCTGATTTTTTTAAAAATTTTGTTTCAATTCACATACATTTAAATAAAAAGTGTTCAGTTTGTTTTCGTCCAAAATGCGCATTCACAAGAAAGTTGATGTAATTGGCATTCATGCATAAATTAAGCATTAGACAGGGAGAAAAAAAATGTTGAAAAACGTAAAAATCAAATGATTTTTCAACTATAGCCGAATTAAAGTTATAAAATACGATGTCAGGATGTTAAGTAAAAAGAATTTGTCCAACTATTTTAAGGATAATTGTAAATTAAACATTCCGAATTTATTTGGATTATTTTGTTTTAAATACTACGCTAAAACGTTTAGCATTACTTAAACTTTTATTATTTCATTCTCTAATCAAATTTATGTTTTATCGGTGAACACATGATATGCATACTATGTGGTTTGTTTGTTCAGTCAAGAAGATTTTCTTCGATTTCATCTTCTTTGATAATGAAATTATATTCGAAAAATACCAGTCTTTGAGAAACCCTATAACCAGGATCTAGAACTAATAAGCAAGTGCAAACATCAACAGATCGTCAATGAAAAGATATTTTTATATCACGCTGACATCAGTATCTGGGTAAATTTTTTAAGAAAATGAAATTGAAACTCTGACGACAGCATTTTTTTGAGATAGGGTCCGGAGGACTACCGTTTTTATTTACCGAAATCAAGTAATGAACCTCCCAGCCTAAACGCTGAAGTAATCGTGGAATCTTTAATTTTAACTGTTCAGACTGTGAGAAATTATCAGAAATTATTTGAAGTCCAGCGTAAATGTACACAAGTAAATATGGCTATGCAACAAGACCAATGAGGAAAATGCTGGTATATATATCGCCAGTAGGCACAAGAACTGAGTGGAACACTCAGTGAGTAAAATAAGTACAATTTTCTGTCAGGTTAAATATAACCATTTGGCTTTTCGATTATAAGCATTTTGTTGTGATGCTAACACAATTTTAGCGCCGGTATTATCGTTTTGTTTATGGGCAGCACTATAACATATATTGCTGAAATTAAAGCCGGAAGACAAAGCGAGAAAATGAAGTCTGATAATAAATGATGTTTTTTTCATGCAGTTCCAAGAGTCTTTCTGAAAACACCAGTCTATTGGTTGTCAACAAATCGCCACGCACTTAAAACTAGAGTAATCTGTAAATATTCTAATATACATTCGTTATTAACAACAGAATTTTCCATCATCAGTGTTCTCGTATGACGTTGTTTCAAACAAATGTGTTTTCAGCTAATTGTGGGATATTTAAAGCTGTTTTTATACACTGGAAATCAGTCTTGTTGATTTCGGTATTAACGTGTTTGCTTACAGTTTGATTTGCTAGAGGAAACTGATTGAGTTCCTCACTTTAGAAACATCAAAATACAGAGTGATATGCAGTTGGGCAGTGCCTAAATCAAATAAATTATGCACATAACTGAACATTATGAAACAGACCAAACAATTAAAATCATCGATTAGCACACAAACTAACCAATAACTTTGAGGTAGAAAAATTTCTCTTTGATGTCAGCCAAATTAATCTGACAAATATAAGTTCCACTGTCAGCTTCTGTGACTTGAAATATCATTAAAGTCCAAGATTCAGGATTTGTTCGGTCAATTTCATAACGTGGAAGAGAGATTTCATTTCCTACTGTCAATGGCATTGGTAAGTCTTCTTTCCACCATGACATCTAGAATTTTGTGTTTAGGAATACAGACTGCTGAGAGTAATAATAATACTGTTTAATGAAAAAATAAAATAAATCGTGTGCATAATAACACTAATATCCAGAATTTGTTATTAGCTGTAAATGGACAGAAGAATATATCGATTGTCTCCTTCATAACTGACGTGACCACTGAAACGTTCTGAAAGATTTTTCAAACTTCCATATACAAAAAATACATAGGCTTAGCGAATTTACATCCTACTTTAACAAACAATGGCAAAGATTTCAAAAAATTACCTCATTCTTTTCCTCAATCAACTTGAACAAAACAAGGACGAAAAAGCAGTGCAGGAGTAAATAACATCCTTTTGTCTCTTTAGTTCTTATAAGCTGCATACAATCGAAAATAATTTGAACATCAAAGTGAAAATAAGAGTTGGTACACTTCAATTAATTAACTTGAAAAGTAATGGACAGCTACATTACATAATTATAATGCTATTAGAGTTGAATAGATAAAATTATTTTGTAATCGATTTGTATACTCTGATTTGTTGCATTCTTACCTAATCTATATTATCTTCTTATTTTTTTGCTCGTCATTCTAATAATTTTGCCAACTCCGAAATCAACATATACATATAGCGAACTAATATCTCTTGTAATCTTATAAATTCAACTATCAGAGTAATGGAATTATTTACCGTTGAAACCCCTCTTTCTTGAAATTAGATAATTGAAGCAAGCGAACTTTCCTTGAATTCTGATATCTAAATTGCTCAGCTGTATATACAAATCAAAAGAATCAACGATATTTCATAGGTGTCAGCATTATCATGTCTTAGCTACTGTCACCACACAAGCCGCCTACCTGATACACTAATATTCTTTAAAAATATTTGGCCTAAGGAGAAGAAGTGTCTATGTGTATCATTATCATTTTTCATCATTTAGGTTTCTTTTCAGTGATGCTGTGTGTGAGCGAAACAAAACCAACTGAAGCCCTTATAATGGCGATTGTAAAGGACGTATAAAACTAACAATCAAATAATCCCTGAAGGATGTTGAGGTCACGTAAACAATGGCACTTAATTCTGTGATTTGTGTGTTGGATCCACAGGTTTGTAGATGTTCATAATAAAGTCAGTGATTAAATCAACTAGTTAAATTGATCCTGACAATTAATTGCATGGACCATACAAAACATATTTCATGGCAGTGATTGTAATAAGATGAATGCTTTGCCTAGCAGATGGATCCCGAAGATAGATAGTTTCTGCTGCTCTAATAGGCAAGCTTTCACTTTCACTTCGGATATCAATCATCAAATCAATATCAATCTGTGAAACCAAATTACGTTGACTGATAAACATTTGACAACCTGATCAGTTATTGTTCACGTTATTCAGTTATTATTCTACGCATTGTACGGGTGTTCAGATCAATCTTTGACTAAATAGACGATGAATAGTCAACCAGAAAATTTGAACATGTTCACAACATAACAAAACCACTCCTCCAAAGCATTGATAGACAATGCAGCTATACTGATAAGTGACAGGAGTTAGTATCCAGATTCCATTGGATCCCAATAATAGAATGAAACTGCACCATTTTGCAAATTAATGAATTCACGCCTATGAAACAGACTGATTACCCATCAAATGAACAAGAGGTTTTGATATTATCAGTTTTGAAATAACCAACTCTCCTGAGAAGTTGGCTCTGTTGATAGCTTCTCAACAAAACCACACGTCTCACAGAACACTGCAAAACCGAATATTTATTTGCAGCAATGAGAAATAAAAATTTGCTTATGATGTTTTACTAAGTAATTTGGTGAGAGTTAAATCGACAAAAACTACTTTGTACAAAGAAACTATTCATTTCATGATAAATCTTATTTTATCGCTTAACTTATGAGTAATTAAAAGTAGATCTCAGTTTCACAATTTGCGCAGAAAAAAACTTCACAGTGTAAATGTATTCATATTTCAATTATTCCACTGTGAAGTATTTTCTGCTGTATACATCAGTTATTATGCTCAGCTACTTTTTACTGAAATAAACAGACATGAAACTGTAGCGCGTTTATGCAGCATACGTGTGTAAGACCGTTCACTGTGAATATTTGCCGAGACATGCATGTGCATAGTATATCGACCAGGTCTCTTCATCAGTAAAGTTAGGATTCCCAAAAGACATGTTCAACATATATATATATATGCTAGCGAATCAACATTCTGACTACTGAGATTTCACCCTGCTAAACTCGGCATTTTAGTCTTAACGAGTATCAGTCATTAAGAAAGACGTTGTAAAATTAAAATCCTCTCCTTTTCTTTCTTCTGCACTTGTCCGTGATTAGGCGAAAATATAGATTCTATCTCATTTTTTTATAAAGACCTGATATCGTGAACAAGTTTTATGCTTCACTTAACCAATTCTCTCTCAAAAACTTGTTTTCTAAAAGGAGACATAACAAATTCACTTCTGTAGACAATGCAATTGCTTGCATTTGCTAAGATATAACGGAAAAATTAGGCGCAGTTGCAATAGTGTTGTCTATGTAGAAGAAATATTCTCTCTCTTTTGGATTCAGAGGATTTGAGTACCTCAAAACTAGTGTATTTTACAGAAAAAAGTTTTGTCTTTTTTAACCATATCTTGTTTCCCTAAGATTCATGGTATACGCCTTAGATTTATGCATATATATTTAAAAGTTCGCCATATACGTGAATTAAATTTATATATATATATATATATATATATAGCATAGAGGGCGCCAAATCAGAAGCATAGTCAAGTATTAAATACCTTGGAATAGTTCTATCTTCTAGTCCTTTTCGTTCAACCCATATCTTGTTGATTTCTAGGAAAGAGTTTCTTCTAACCTTCTTCCTTTTGAAGACGATTAGGTATCACTCACCCGCTACTTTTGCAGCTTGTTAACTCTTGCATCTTACCTGAAGTTCCTAATTGATCCCCCTTAGTCATTCCTGTATCACTCAAAAATGACCATGTGATATTGCAAAGGATATTAAAGCTAGTTTAGTGGAATATGTGATGTACCACTCAGTCAGCTCGTTACTACTGGTAGTTGACAGACACCTGAGCACCTATTGTCTGACTGTCAGCACCGTTTTTGTTTACAACTCTCCCCTTGGATCTAGTCAAGTAGAACTAGAAGCCATTATAAAAGACTATATATGTGCTAGCCTAAATAAGTATAAAAAAATTTGGCTGACGTTCTAAGCATGAAACTAATAACATAATATGTAATTAGAAAAAAGATAAATGGCTCTTTGATCTTCTCCGATTTGTAATTCATAGCGATGTTACTTCCATTATCTTATAATTTAAGTTAATAATGTATTTATTATCATTTTATACATTCGCTAGTGATTACGTCAAAAATTACTATTATCACTTCTGGTTACCAAAACCATGTAATTTTGTTGTTGTTGTTGTTTTTGAGTAAATCGTATGCAATATTGTACCAAAGTCTGAGAATTCTATGCTTTGTCATGAGTACTGTTTTGGAAAAGCAAATCACAATTATTATTATTATTATTTTATTCCTTTACGTTCCCAGTGGAACATAAGCTTCAAGCCAGAGGCCTGAAGTTTCAATAGTTTCAGTGTTTATTTTTACAGGATGGGTTTCCTAGCCTCATGCCCAACCTTTCCTCTTTACCAGTCTTATTACTGGCCTATCGAGGTAAAGGAGTGCGTTGGCCGGGGATCAAACCTCTGACCACATGCGTGGTCGGTGAGCATTCTACCACTGTGCCACCAACATATATACATATATCGTGATCTAAGTACGTGCCGAAAAAACGATAAAACACCACTAAGAATTTATCGGAGAACCTGCTGCGAAAATCACACCGGTGTCTATATACACAATCAGTTTGACCGTATAATTGGATACATTAGATTTGTTTCTACTTTCCATTCGGTAAAATACCAAATTGGAAGTATGTATTTTATGAGCAGTAAATTCTAGGCAGTTTGATTATCCTTACTGACGTGTACTTGGTGTGTTGCTTTTTTTTCATCTTTACACAACACTTCAACTCACTTATGCTTCAGTGCTTCAGTCCGATAAGTATTTGTCTAAAGGCTTTCAATCATTTTACATCGTTTTGTGACGTTTAGGTTTACTTAAATTTTTGGTTAAATGGCTTTTTGTTTGATTTTCAAGATATAAGTATTTACGGATGTTACTCTTCATACACGCGAAAGAAGATAAATTGGTGAGTAAGTATCAATCTTATCTTATTTATGCCTAATCTATACCTAAGAGATTATTTGTTATCATTTTAAGCACATATCGATTAGAGCGTTGATTAGAACCATGGTACACCACTGGAATATGCAGTTACCTTATAATCATATAAGCTGCACCAATACCATTATTTTTAACAAGAAGTAGTCCCAACGATTATTATTTGTGTGTGAGCAACTAAATGCTTGACAGTCTGGCATTTGTAATGAGTGACACTGTTTCCAATATCAGTGCTAACAAATTTAGTCCAGAGGATGCTTTCAATATTAGGACAGGCAGTTGTAGCAGACTTCATTTCTTGTTAAGCCCATCTAATCTACAGATTATTTACAGTCATTTTTGTTTCAGCCAAAAAATACACTAACATTTTATGAAAGTGAGTAATTCACATTTACTTCTCACATTCTCCTGAAGAATTAAAATATATTTATGACTCATTTATTTGAAAGGTGGATTTAGGCATCAAATTCATCCAATGTCAAATTTTTTGTGAACATCAGGCAATAATAGCAATGACTATCTTTTAAACTCGTTTCCTGATCGTAATCATAAGTCAAGCAGTTATATGTTGTTTTACTTACTGCAGGCCAAAATCTCACATATGCACAGAACTATCAATTTTAATCCTTTTGTTTATTCTGTTGATTATTTATTCGTTCCGATTTTCCAAAACGGAATACTACTGTCTGGTAGACAGATGGATATTGATACTTTGACAAATTTGTTGCAGTGAGTTTTGTGCAGTGATTACCGAAACTGAGTCTGTCCAGGATTGCAGCCACTGCAACCATCTTGTAACACTCCATGAAATCACGATGATGATAATGATGATGATGGTAATAATAATTATTATTATTGTTCCTTGGATTCCTAGTGGAACATAGGACTTCAACTGCACGTCTCCACTTGCTTCCTCCTTCTTCTGCTGCACTTTTCACCTGCATCCATGTTAGTCCATACTGTTTCAACTCCTCTTCACACGATCTCCTCCATGTCACGTTCGCACCGAAGACCCACTCGCCGCTTCCCTTTCGGCCAGGTTCCATCGAGGAATGGCCTGACGCGCGCGCGATGTCACCCAGCTGCGGCCTTCTCAGCGAGTGTCCAATCCATCTCCACTTTCTCCTGCATATTTGTTGGTTGGTGATTGGTTCTTGTTTTGTTTGTTTGTTCCCATAGTTTCTTGTTGGTGATTCCTTGCGGCCCGGCCATCTGATCTTCAGAATAGAGCGAAGACACTTGCTATTTTCTTCAATTCAATTTTAGATTTTCCCGTCGAATCCCCGGTGGGAACATCATCACTCACTGCGGAGTGTGCGTACATCCAGTGATTAGTCCTAAATAGGATGAAATGAGCATCGTGGATTCCACTGCTAGTAACCATCCACAAATTAACTTACTGTTTTCATTCCAGCATCAATAACTGGAGCACAAATTATTTCTGGACCATTCACACAACCTGATGACTTGCTTTATATATTCTTATTACCTGCTATTTTTTTTTAAATACAGTCTCAGTCATCTTGACACGAGGCTACAAAGTGCCTGGCACAGTTACTTCAAACCCTGGTTGACAGGCTTGTGAAGCATTGCATCAAATATATCTTTCTATTTATCTCGTGATGTTTTACGCTTAATCACTACACACCTCTCGTGGAAATCTTCTATATATATATATATATATATATATATATATATATATCAGTGAAGGATGTGGCGTTTTTTTCTGTTGCACGCGTCCAGTTCTGATTAAACGACCAAGAATTCATTGACTAACCTCTCTTTCTACATAACTAAGTTACTTTTTTACTAGAATATCAAAGTAATTCGATCACTGGAGCCAGAATGATTGATAAATCCGGTAACTTGTTAAAAGTCACAACAGGGTTTGAGAGGGTAAGAAAGTTAGGTGGAGAGGTCGACATCGATCTATTCCTGATACACAGAAATTGTATTAAAGAATAGCAGTGTGTGAGCCTGTATAAACCAAGATAACAAGTCGTATGCAAACATTGTTATAATTATGAGCGATTAACTGTGCTCAAGTTGATTGGCAGTTATAAATAGTATATCAGTTTGCTATATCAAATGAATTTATCTAGTGTGGAAGGACTAATACCATTATTACTAAATGTACTGAAATGTTTACTGTGTGTTAAAACACATCTGTTTTATGAATATTTAGACAAAACGTTTACATGCTTCTTCGCGAAATGGTGAACAGTAAGTAAACTATTAGTGAAAATAAAATTACTGGCTGTGTATAAGAGATATATGCACTCGTTGGTAGAAAATGATTTCTTCGAAATGACTAGTCAAGTGTTTGATTCTATGTTTAATACTAATAAACAAAATGGGGCACATATTATTATTATATCCTTTAATTCCTAGAGGAACATAGGACTTCAGCTGCGCGTCTCAATTGCCTTCGGTTTTCCGCCAACTTTTTCAACCCGCTACAAGTCTGTCCACATGCTTTCATCTCCTCTTCACATGACCTCCTCCAAGTCACCCTTGCAATGACGACCAACTCGCCGCTTCCCTTTCGGGTTCCACTAGAACGATGGCTTGTCTAGTGATGTCACTCGACAGTTTCCTCAGCGTATGGCCAATCCATCTCCATTTCTTCATGCATATTTGTTTCACAATCGGTTCCTGGTTGATTCGCTCATTGCCAGAGATCCCTGTTGCTGATCTTTTCTGGCCATCTGATCATGAGTGGCGTTGAGCGAAGACAGCTGTTAACGAAGGTCTGTAGTTTGTTCGAAGTGCCCTTCGTGACGCGCCAAGTGTCTCATGCGTATAGTAGCACTGACTGGCTTCACATTGGAGTTGAAAATCCAGATCTCATTCTCAATTTCATGCTGAGTTCTGTTGACCTCCACACAGACTTGAGAGTAATGAAACCTTGTCCTGCTTTTCCGATTCTTATTTTGATATCCTCGTCAGTTCCGTCCGCCTGTAGTTGAAACGGTGCTTCCCAGGTGGGTAGGTGAAGGAGGTTGTTTCTTTCAGATTCCTCCCATTTATACTGGCTGATTGTTGTCCGTTGTTCTTGTTGTTGTTGTCGCTGTTGGTTTTGGTGTTGGCCAGGAATCTTCATCACCTCTGTTTTATCTATGTTCACCTGAAGTCCTATCTTCTCTGGATGCTTCTTCTGCCAGCTTGTTGCTTTTCACTTGCATATCTTCCAGTTTGTTTGTGGGAAATCAGACATATATCATCGGTGAAGTCCATATGTTATCCTCCAAGTCTTTGTGTGAGTCCATTTTATGCCTGTTTCCTCATTGTCCGTTGTCTGTCACATTATCCAATCTACTGTAATCAGGAAAATCATTGGCGACAGCAGACAGCCAGCTTGTTTCACTCCCGTCCTCACTTCGAAGGCTTCCGTAAGTTTCCCTTGTGGATTACCTGGTATGCAGCATTGTCGTACAACTGTTGGATGATGTATAATTGTCAGTGGCACCCCGCAGTAGCAACGTAGTAGGCAAATCACCTCTACCAACGCTGTCGAAGGCCTTTTCAAAGTTGATGAAGTTGAGATAGAGAGGTGACTGCCATTCGAAGCTTTTTTCAATGATAATCCGTAGAGTGGCGATTTGATCAATACATGACTTGTTTCTCCTGAATCCAGCTTGTTCCGGTCGAAGTTTTTGGGGCAAATATATAATGCTAGTTTATTCATAATTATGGGTGATCACAACTAGAAGAAATACTTATGGAAGATTGAATCTTAATCTACAAGTTTATATTTTATTCATAGCACGTAAGTGTTAAATAGGGTTGACTAAAAAATTCTGAGAAGTAAATATCACTTCGTTCCATATGTAATTATTCTGTATGAATAACTCATATAATTAAAACATGTATATATTTAAAATAGTTCGCCTGAAGTTCACTAAAAACACTTTCTAACTGACATATTATTATATTCTGAATGACCCTATTCAACCCTGAAAGAAATAATCATATCAAAGAAAGAAAATAAAATAAGTGTGGTTGCATGTCTCCCTTTAATAATACATATATTAAAACATTATCTTAGTAACGACGAACTCCTATGGTTTTTGTTGTCAACAAGTGCTTCCTATAATTTAACTTCCTCTACATAAGCAGTGTGATTCTCTGTGTGTGTCCTCTTTGCATGTAATTACTGTGATGCAAATGTCTTAGATAATTAATCTCTATCTCAATTCATATACGACTGACTAACAGTTCTTATTTAATTAGGTCATCTCTGGTCATTCTTATTTTCACCTCTTGTAATTACACGAAAAATAGAGTGCTGCAAAGCAGAATAAAGATGGGCAGAGAAAATATATCTATAACTGTATATGTGCTTTCAAGACAATAAGGTTTTTACATTTAGATTTCAATGGATATTTCATGTAATTTATCGACAGATATTCAGTATCATATCCAGGAATTTTACATCGGTGCAAAATTAACTTAATTTCAGAAAATGTTTTCTGCCTTAGTACAGTTTAGGTTGAATCTTCAAATAGACATTCATTGACTGAATAGCTAGTTCTGATAACATATGTACTGAACCGATTGGTATAGATAAGTGAATGGAGAATAACTAAAAGGGAGACAGTCACAGAGCTTTGATTTCATGACCAATACTTTTCACACGTACCACACAAGAGAACAGTAAACTTTACAACCAACAAACTTACTACTGTAGAGGAGAAATCAATATTTTTTACTTTACAAGGAAGTACAGCTGTGGAATTTTTGACACAGGTTATGTACACAGGTTGGTCATGGTCAAAGTCTGGCTCATCCGTAAATTCTGCAACAGATGATGATGGTTTTGATGGTAACTTTGACAGTGAAGAATAAGAGGAATACGATGTTTTTGAAGAGTTTGGAAACAAACCGTTTGTACTCAAAGAAGAGAAGTTAGGTCTGAATGAACTAAAATATGAACTAGATGGACTGTAAAATTCTGGCTCTTGTATTCCTGGTTGTTTGCGAATGTTTCTCAATGCGGAAGAATTTCCATAATTCAGATTAAATAAAGACTGAATTGTCCCTTCTGAATAATTCTGAGATGCTTTTATTGGACGTTTCCTTCTCTCTATCATGGTCAATCTGGTTTGATTAAGTTTAGCTTGATAGTTTAAATTGTGGTAGTCTGATGTCATTAACTGTTGTTTATCTGGATTCATTTTGGTGTTATTCAGTGACTTTTCATATGAAATAAAAGGCATGTAAATAACTGTTAAGGTCACAAGGTAAACATTTAAACTTCTTGAATAGATCGCCATCCATATGAAATTATTTGAAATAAAGGAATTATGTTGTTGAAATTTTGACATTTGAGCTCCTACAAAAGTAAAATTAATAAACTGAATGATTTAATTGAAAATTTAGTAGGAAATTTCACAGAAACAAATAGTTGGTTTTCAAATTAAGGCTCAAATAGAAGAGACAAATTTATTTTATTATTTCTTTTTCGACTTCAGAATCTCACAAATGTCAACATTTGAGATTAATCTCAGCCATCGTATTCACACAACTTCTATAAACGTTGAATAACTTTGTGTACTGAAAGTACCCTAGGTGATATAAGATTGGAACTCCAAACATACCAGAAGTGAAAATGCATTCTTATTAGTGCTTTTAACAAGAAACTACTTGCTTGATAATTTGGAAGTTAGAACAAGACATATAAGCGAACAATATTGTTTTCAATTAGATCTTCTTCAGGCTTTACTCCAATTTACATAGACTTATATATATAAAATTTTAACCAATGACGGTGATTTAGTGGATCAAATAATAATAGTAATCATAATAATAATAGTAATAATAATGTGGTAAATGTTTTGAACGAAGTTAATAGCGATGATTATAATAATAACAAAATATTGTTAATAAGGCTTATATAGGTGATAAGAATAACAAAGTTAGTATATGCATATATGACAAGAATGAAATGTTAAAAAAGTTTAACGATGCACATCCATCGCTTATCTTCACTTGTGAAGAAGAATATGATGGTGGACTACATTTTCTTGACGTCCAATTGAGCAGAAGAGAGGATGGTTCACTAAAGAGAGATGTATATAGAAAACCTACATCTGTAGGACAATATACACATTTCCTCAGTTATGTACCAATCCGTTACAAAATCAATTTGATCAGATGCCTGATGAATACAGGAAGACGCATCTGTACAGATGACTCTCTAGAGAATGAGCTAGGATACATCCAAAATACGTTAGTCCAAATGGGTTATCCTAGTAGATTTGTCAGGAGACACATGAATGCTAAGTACAATAAAGAGAAACCGACAACAGTTAAAAAGAAACAACTGTTCATGAAACTGCAATTTAATGGGGACGTGGCTAGTGAAGTCTTACATCAGAGATTATCGAGATCGATAAAACGGACTTATACTGCCGCCACCCTCTGTTTGTCATTTTCCAGCCGGCCAATTTTGATTGCTCAAGTGAAAGATAAGTTACCTAGTTGTGCCACTTCCATGTGTATCTATAAATTTAGTTGCTCCTGTGGAGAAAGCTATATAGGCCGAACAACTAGACAGCTTAACAAACGCATTAATGAGCATCTTCCTCCATGGTTCGGAAAAGGTCAAATAAAGTCCATACGAAGTTCTATTTTGGCTCATTTGATTGATAGTGGTCACCAAGTGGACAAAAATAGTGCTTTCAAAGTCATTTACCGCATTCCATCAAGTCTTTCGAACGGAATCAGAACCCGTCTTTTACACTTAGCCGAAGCTATGGGAATTCGAGAGAAAAATCTTAGTCTTTGTATACGAAAGAAATTTGTTCTACCTTTGTCTCTCCCTTGGCCTAGGTGAATTCTATTCAAAACCCTCCCACCCTTTCTTATCATCCCTCTCCTTCGTACTTTTATGATATTTATGATATTTATTTAAACTCTGATTATCGTTCCATTTGATTTGACCTAATTTATTTATTTATTGAATTGTCTACATATATGCATATACTAACTTTGTTATTCTTATCACCTATATAAGCCTTATTAACAATATTTTGTTATTATTATAATCATCGCTATTAACTTCGTTCAAAACATTTACCACATTATTATTACTATTATTATTATGATTACTATTATTATTTGATCCACTAAATCACCGTCATTGGTTAAAATTTTATATATATAAGTCTATGTAAATTGGAGTAAAGCCTGAAGAAGATCTAATTGAAAACAATATTGTTCGCTTATATGTCTTGTTCTAATATTATAAATGGGAATATTTAAAAATTTGGAAGTTATTTTCTAACAATAGTCACCAAAAAAGTCTGTTTTTTAAAAAAATGATCAGCACCTTTTCTGTTCGCGTTTTACGCAAATTTCGTTTTCTCAATGCAGAGAGAAATGTAATGAGCATAAGCTGAGAACTGAGCATCATGCTGTTGCTGTTCAGCATTTGTATTTTCCAGGCTTGGGTTATCCTTCAGAATAAGCAATACACACTAATATATTCAAGCAGAGATTATCATTTGGAACTGCTGTTCACGAATTCACAGTTCACATTTTATTGTAGTACTGTTTTATTTTGTTGAGATGGCGAGTTTATCAGCACTTACAGAATTGTTTTTCAAATAAAATCCCCTCTGTAACTTAAAATTTCCCTCCAGAATTTCGAATGCTTTCCCATCTTCAGACGAATTGCTATTATGCTATTGCTATTATGAAGTCCTATACCCTCAATAACTAAAACGCTGTTTTTATTTTGATATTAGCATGTTCATTTTGAACTTAGTAGATGGTATTACCTTTTTGGACTATAGCAACTGGGAAGAGAGCATTTATTTTATTAATAACACTTAAAGACAGCTGACTTATGCACAAACTAAATTTTTGTATTCCCCTGTCACTTAACAGCGTCATGTTTGCTCTGCTTATTCAGCATTCTGACGTCTCTCTTGTTTGACCAGGATTGGATACATTTCCGTCTTAATAAAATTAATGTACATTTTAGTCTTATTAGATCTGAATTTAAGCATAAAAGTACAAATGTTGTCATTTTATCTTAATTTGATGAGAAAAAGTAATACATTACACGTCCGTTGTAATAAGATTTCGTTCTAAGACAAATGAAATTACGAAAATTGTGTAAGACGCATAAGCCCTTATTCAACTTTTTACTTTATTTAAATAAAATAGCCTAGCATATGCGAACAACGGCTTAATGAGTTGAGACAATTTTACTCGGAAGTGGTCCATTTTTGCTGTTTCAGTTAAGATATAGAGAATAACAGTTGAGAAAAGAGTTCCTAAAATGAGTAAGCACTTGCTGATTCTAGATAAACGGTTACAGGATTTCATCATGAGCTATTATTGTTTAGAGAACCATTGGAAAACCTGGGAGTACTGGACAGCTGTTTCTTCCTAGTTCGGGACTTTTCATCAGTACGCACCCACCACATGGCTTCGAACCCAGAACCTTCTGGTTATAAGGCGAGCTCGTATACCATTAAGCCACTGGGACCCGATCCACTGGACCATGAATTCTAACATCTGCCTATTCACGATATAGCGCGACCGCTAGCCAATGTCTTCGGCGAGTATTTGTCATCACACCCGACCTGCTGCACCCTACTGGTCATGACTTCCCACTGGAACCCCAGGTAACTACCTACCTGAATAGGGCCAGTTGCCAGTGAGCATCTAATTGATATTCAAGTATTGGTTTGTAGGGATTTGGTTGATTTATTACAGGATATCATGGCCAGTATTACTGATAATCCGTATTCCCTTGCAAAGTATCTTAATACAGAAGCTAATTGAAAGAAACTTAGGTTAAAAGTGGGATACAATGAATATGCGGAAATAAAGAAAGCTAAAAAATAATGAACTTCGTTTGTTAAAAGTGGTTCAGAATATTCTGTAATTTCATAATACGTTCCGTAAAGAATTTTATGTGAAAATTTTCAAAGTGTATCTCAGTCACCAGTAAAATTGATCTCAAGTACTTAATGTGTACTCTTTTATAATTGGAGGAGAATATTATAAGTTCTGGGAAGTGTACCAAATGCTAACATATATGTTTAAATATTTCATGAACTCGTTAGGTTTGAATTCCTGTAGGCTTAAGTATTGAGTCTATGCTAGGGGCTTTAGATGACTGAAAGTAAATATCGCGGTTAGCAAAATCTCTATTCTTATTAGATTATTGTTATAATTTCCTTTAGTTCCTTGGGGAACATAGGGCTTCAGCTACGCGTCTCAATTGCCTTCGGTTTTCCGCCAACTTTTTCAACCCGCTACAAGTCTGTCCACATGCTTTCATCTCCTCTTCACATGACCTCCTCCAAGTCACCCTTGCAATGACGACCAACTCGCCGCTTCCCTTTCGGGTTCCACTAGAACGATGGCTTGTCTAGTGATGTCACTCGACAGTTTCCTCAGCGTATGGCCAATCCATCTCCATTTCTTCATGCATATTTGTTTCACAATCGGTTCCTGGTTGATTCGCTCATTGCCAGAGATCCCTGTTGCTGATCTTTTCTGTCCATCTGATCATGAGTGGCGTTGAGCGAAGACAGCTGTTAACGAAGGCCTGTAGTTTGTTCGAAGTGCCCTTCGTGACGCGCCAAGTGTCTCATGCGTATAGTAGCACTGACTGGCTTCACATTGGAGTTGAAAATCCGGATCTCATTTTCAATTTCATGCTGAGTTCTGTTGACCTCCACACAGACTTGAGAGTAATGAAACCTTATCTTGCTTTTCCGATTCTTAATTTGATATCCTCGTCAGTTCCGTCCGCCTGTAGTTGAAACGGTGCTTCCCAGGTGGGTAGGTAAAGGAGGTTGTTTCTTTCTTATTATATGGACTGCCCTAATATCTGAAAATATTCTGTATGATCTTTTCAAAATGACAAATGATAAAAAACAGATATACAACTACTTTATCTACATTAGTAATGATAACGATAAGAAATAATAATAATAATATGCAAGACTACTAGGAATATGGAAATAGTCAATAAAAACTCAAGCAAAAATGTGGGTCACATCAAGTTAATATGATTTTGATCTGTATTCGCTTATTTCAAAAATTAAGGAAACCCTTGAGTAAACTTATTCATTAGCCTTTCTCACTCCACAAGATACTTTTTCTATTTATTAAACTGTATGCGCTTTGCATGTTATTTGCAACATAAATCAATGTGCACAAGTCACATTACACTAGGGTGATTGATATGAATTCTACCCCGCAAAAAAATAAATTTGGATATTCCAAGTCCAAAACCTAATTAAATGTGACAAATGAAAGGTTTGAAATTAAAAGTAATATGAGTATACATACATTCAGAAAGTCGAT